GGGACTGGACTCGATGACCTCTCGAGGTCCCTTCCAGTCCTAGAATCCTAGAATCTATAAGGAAGATGAAAACATGTAACATCAAAGATGTCTCCATTTTAAAGGAAGATCCCTTACCTGGGACTCCAGATGGTGGATTAATTTGGTAAACCACAGGTGTCTGTGCAATAGAAAACTGCAAGAAGAATTTTGTTGTTAAACAAACAAGCTTCCACAGCAGCCCTACAAGATCCGATTATGCATCATTCGCAACACAGCTGGCAACCAGCATTTCAGACACACTTATTTTGGGGCTTGTCTTTAAAGTGCATTTCTACTCTGATGAGTGACTATGTAAAACTGCCCCCTTCTTATCAGCAAATTTGCTCCCCATGTGTTCTCAGAGTCAGATCTGCTGATTTGAGTGATGACAATAGGTTTCTACTGCTGGTTAGTCCTGCTAGCTCTGCAGAACCAGCACAGCGAAGAGAAGAGAGAGCTGCATTCATCTCCATCTTCTGCCTCACCAACAAAACCGTTATTAAGTTGCTAATCAGTTACACTGGTGCATCCTCACTGAAGGCAACCAGTCTATACAGGGGTCACCAAGGGTCTAATTTGACCTGCAGGAGAGAAGGGCAATATGATCTCATGCTCCAAAACATAACCTGATCATTGCAGAAGTTGGAAACTAAGGGCCAGATTATAACTCTGGGAACTAATCTGAGATGAGGAAGCCCCTATATGGACAGAGCACTGGGGGAGTGAGGGAGGATGTGTCCATAGGGTCAAATGCATTCAGGGTCCCTGAGAGGAGTGTGCTCGGCAAGAAGCATTTGCTGCTCCTATCTAAGAAAAGTAACCTGCTTTCCCACTCCCATGCAAACCCTCCACCACTGCCTTGTGTGCACGGAGTGGAGATCCCAGACACAGCCCCTCTGGAGTGGAGAGCATTCCTGGCAGCCCTAGTCCTTTCCCTTGGTGCTCCTTAAGTCTTATGTCTCTGCCTCTTAAGCAGTGTCATTGCATGCAGGAAGGTGTCACTACAGTGTCTCCCCACTAGGGCACAGTCCTACATATTTCCTCTGTGCATTGCCCAGTTGACCACGGGTACCGTGGCACAGAGCTGAACCAATCATTCATAGCAAAAAAATGAGTCACTGGCATTTTCCTCTCTTTCTGCTCCTCATTTGTCCGCGAGCAGCCTGAAATTGTCCCGAATTCCTTTGTTCCTTCAAAATTGCTGGCTGAATCATTTCTACAAATATTTCCGGGCCTGCTAGTGAAGGCAGGGGGCTGGACTCGAAGACCTTTCGGGGTCCCTTCCAGTTCTAGGAGATAGGATATCTCCATATAATAAAATAATAAATAAATAATACATGATGACAGTTTGTATGCCAACGTCTGCAATCCAAGCATTCGTTTTGATTGGAATTACAGCTCACACGGCATCACTTGTTTTACCTGAACGTAACTCTTAGACTCAGGTTCCTGGGGTGCGAGTTTCAGTTCGAAACCCTGCTGTTTTCTGTGAATATTACTGATCTTGATAGCATGCCTATCCGTTGCTCTGGGGACTGTTTTCCCATATGCAGTTAACGCTCCCTTCAAGCATTCCTGCCAGTTCACTCCTTCTCTAGACCGTTCTTGGAAAGCAAGCATAGGCAGAATGAATACAGAGCCAGCTCCTCCCCTGGGATAAACTGTCGTAGCTTAAGTGAGCTCCAGCCAAGGATCTGGCTCCTGGAGCTTTACACAAGCCAGTATCCACGGAGTATTGTGGGAGGTATTTACCCTGCTCCAACCATAGAAAGGAACGGCTGGAAGGAACTTCAAAAGGTCCTCTAGTCCAGCCTCCTGCAGGATTAAGTGTATCAAGGGGGTTTTTTTTGGCTCCTTCTGAGGCTTCAGGGACTGTCCAGAGTTAAGAGCCAGGATACTGGATTAGATGGACCAATTGCCTGATCTGAGCTGACAACTCCTGCGTTCCTAGAAACACCCAGCATTTGAGATTTTCATGAGATTATGTCATCCCAGAACTGGACAACGTGTGAACTGCAGTTTCAGCTGCAGTGGTCAGAGCATGGTAAAGAAGCCCAGCTTTGTGTTCCTAGGGGGTAGTGGATAGGCACTGGACTGGGAGGCTGGAGATTTGGGTTCCGCACATGGCCTGCTGCGTGACTGTGGCCAAATCACTTTGCATCTGTGCCTCACTTTCCCCACCTGTAAAATGGGAAGGATGATTCCGATCTCCCTTTGTGAAGCACTTTGAACTCTCCAGATGAAAAGCACCATGTAAGAGCTAAGGGCCAGCTTCACAAAGGAATTTAGGGGCCTAGTGGGATTTACACTGACTGTCAGTGGGAGGTAGGCACTTTTCTAAATCATGCCATGTGCCTATCTGCATCTTTAGGCACCTTTGTGAGTCTAGTCCCAAATATTACTAATGGGCTAAAGCAGTGGTTCTCAAAGCCAGTCCGCTGCTTGTTCAGGGAAAGCCCCTGGCGGGCCAGGCCGGTTTGTTTACCTGCCGTGTCTGCAGGTTCGGCCGATCGCGGCTCCCACTGGCCGCGGTTCGCTGCTCCAGGCCAATGGGGGTTGCGGGAAGGGCGGCCAGTACATCCCTTGGCCCGCGCTGCTTCCTGCAGCCCCCATTGGCCTGGAGCAGCGAACCTCAGCCAGTGGGAGCCGCGATTGGCCAAACCTGCAGACGTGGCAAGTAAACAAACCGGCCCGGCCCGCCAGGGGCTTTCCCTGAACAAGCGGCAGACCGGCTTTGAGAACCACTGGGCTAAAGTAAACCCTGATTCCAATTACGTCAATAGCAAACGCCTATTGATTTCAATGGGACCAGGATTTATCCCTATTAAAAAGTAAGTAGGGGCCTCCTACACTCTCATTCTCCAGCCCCATGCCCACTATCCCTCTCTCTTGCAGATCCTAGCCATCTCTCCCTTCCCCACATGCACTTATATTCTGGAGTCAAGCACTGGAGCAACCTAAGACCTGGCAGAGCCGGGGTCAGACTTTCCAGGACTTCACAACATTGATTCCCTCTGAGCTGTCATGTGACACAACATAGCCTCAGGAGACATGGCAATCTAAAAAATTCACGAGCAGGTCATCGCAAAGAAGAGAGATCAGCACTGACCAACCGCCAGCCAGACTGGCTGGAACAAGGAGCAGATTAGAGCAGCGAGGCAACAGCCACCAACTGATAGGAAAGCCTTCTGTGAGCAGTTCAGACTTGTCACTGCCTGCAGCGGGTTTTGCAGTCTACTGGAGAGGCCAAATTAATTTTTTAATACTCATGGCTCACAGGTTTCCAGTCCCAAAACAAAGAGACGCATTGTGTTTTATTTCGCTTGGAATGTGTCTCATTAACAGCATCCCCTGGTGATTTTTCATCAACTCTCTAAGCTAGCTGAACTGCCCAATGACTTGTATGTTTTAATGTGCAATTTGCTGAAAACGTCGGGCTCTCCCGCTCACTCCTGGAAAGGAGCTAGACAGGACTGACAGGCACAAAGGGGCTTGTTCTCTAGCAAACAGCTATGGCTGAGGGTCCTGCTCTGCAAGGGTTAAGTGATCTCTATTACCCTAGAATAAATAATAATAAATAATACACTGCTCTGATAAATCCTGATCCTGCACCCATCTGAGTCACTGGTGCTTTTTTCATTGACATTAGTGGGAGCAGAATTGAGAGTTTTAAAAAAGGAGCCAAGTGGAATCATCCTTATTTTACAAATGGGGAACTGAGAAGGTAAATGACTGTGGCAAGCTGCCACAGTAATTCGCAGGTAGAGGTGGAAAGAGAACTCAGGCATCTGAGCCGTCTTCTGCTCTTACCAGTGCCTCCATTGCTGCATTGGAAAGACAAAACACAGCATAATGCATCTTCTTCTGCATGTCCTGGCTTCACCCACAAGCGGAAACACACCAAGAAAAGTTCTGCTGGAGAGGGGCATTTTTAGCAACCAGCCAGGTGCTCAAGCCACAGCCAGTTTTTGGGATGGAATATTAATTATTTTGTGTAATGCCAAAAGTAGCACCTGTCAGGCCTTTGTACCAGCCTTAGCATCACCAAGGCAAAGCTAGGAGAGAAGGGGGACAGCGATCATGAGGACTGAATCTGATTCTATGTCCTCTCTGATAGGCTGAGGTAAGGGTCTGTGAAAAACACAAAGTCTATCCATATTTGACTTCTGGTGTGCGTGTGTCAGGGCCCGTGAGACTGCAGACTCTGCAAAAACACATCTGTATAACTAACAGCTTAAAAAGTGCTTGCTTAATGGTTTTTCTTTGACTGACATGTTGTTGATGTAATTGTAACAGTCACTAACACAAAAGGGGTTGACAGGTCTGAGGAATTTGTATTTGACCTTTCGGATATCTCTTGGAATCTCCAGCGACAGGCAGGTAGCTGGCTACTTGAACCTTCTCGTTTGACCACTCGAGACCCCTCCAGACCATGGGTAACTATTTTGGGGAGTGATCTATAACCTATTGTGTTTGTATGTGCTCAAGACTAAATAAAGCAGAGACTGAGTAACGCCATTCTTGTAAAAGTGCTGGAGACTAATAAAGTGAAGGCTTTAAGTAAAAGCATTTGATTTTGTGTGATTTATGCCAGCCCTATAGCAGACAGAGGTGCTGCATCTCCCTTGGTTTATTTCCTGATATCACCTTGCAGAAAGTAAAGTTACCAAGAGCTTTGGCATTAGGAGGCCCCAGGTAACACTCCCAACAAGGCCAAAACTCACAAAGAACTGGAAACCTTGAAGGCAGAGCTGATCTCAAGATTTCTCATAGAATTTCAGAGTGACAAAGTTCAGAAATATCTGGATACGTGCCATGGGGAGCACTGCCTGATTCCACCCCTTCCCTGATGAACCCATGGTTTTGGTATACAGAGCTCTTGGGTTATCATGGGCTTTGTGCCATAGCCCATAGAGCTAGCTTCCCTTTATTATATTCAATGTCTTGCCTTCAACTCTACATTTATTATGTTTAGCAGTAATGCAAGGAACCTACAGGCCTGTACCCTCTAAGACATTTGCTTAGGAGCTAGTACAAGGCTTGAGAGGAACTAGAAGTAGAGTATGTAGGGGGGAATTTTCTCCATAATGACATCAGCCCGCCACAGGAACATGAGCTAACATCAGCTTCTGGATAGAACATCCATAAATGTCTAACCACAAGAGTACCATAGCAATGAATTGACGTATATGATAAGTTGAGAACATTAATATTCTAAGGACACCTCAACATGAGTAGGGTGAGGAAATACAAATAAGGAAGAGGGGGAAAACCCTCACATCATAAAAGTTGTAGTCCAGCGTGTGGGCAGTCGGAAAGAGAGATGTAGCCCTTGGGAGGTGCCAGAACGATAGCCACTGGCAGTCAGGAGGAAGCTGATGGTGATGAGGGAGATAATGGCTAACATTTCAGGTTGTTCTTCAAGGGATGGTGAGAGTATGTGGATGTTCAGGTGTACATTCTGTAGTATCTCTACCTACTTTACTGAGCTGGAGTGTTTGTGACTTTGCTAAATGTATTAATAAATTTTTGTAAATATAGAAAACTTCCTGTAGTGTGAGTGTTACAACTGGGCACATCGGGGCTCCCAACTATACAGTTATTTTAATAACACTGGGCCTGGTCTGGGGACAAGAACCAGTCAACCCTCAAAGTGATAACTGGGAATTCTTAAGTAATAATATAATTAATACATAATCTATGGATCGGGCTACAGTGCACCCTTCTGAACAGGCACAATGGGAAGCAGTATAGTCCAGTCGATAAGGATCTGGAGACTATTCCTGGCTCTACCAATGACCTGCTGTGGGACCTTGGGCAAGTCCCTTCATCTCTCTGTGCCTCTATTCCCCCTCTCACTATTTCTTTACTTAGACTGTTGGGTCAGAGACACTCTCCTACTATGTGTTTGCTCAGGGCCTAGCACTATCAGGCATCTAGACACCAATGTAATAATATTCATAATAGCATTTGGCATTGCATGCCTTAAAAATGCAAAAAGAGGGTGACTAGGACCCATATTGTCACATAATCACAGACAAAGACCTCCTGGGTCATCTAATCTATCCTCTGGGAATAAGGTGACCAGATAGCAAGCGTGAAAAATTGGGATGGGAGTGGCGGGGGAAAGTAATAGGCGTCTATATAAGACAAAGCCCTAAATACCGGGATGGTGCCTATAAAATCGGGACATCAGGTCACCCTACTTGGGAACCAGCACTAGGTTATTCCTCATCCCCTAGCACTTTGTCAGGACTAGTTTTAAATGACTCAAGCAATAGCGCATCCACCTCTTCCCAACCTAGGAGATAGCACTTTCCGAATTTCCCCCCGCTCCAACAGTCAATCGAAGTTCTCTTCTGCTCAGATTACCCTGAGTTGCAACCCCCTTTGGATTATCTTTAGCCATTTCCTCCCATCCCTCCTTGGAGTTTACCTTGAAAGTGCAGTTGTCACAAGGCATCCCACCCAGGTTGCTTATCACCTGCCCATTGGCAATCACCTCCAGCTGGTACAGCCCCTCCTGCTGCGAGGACCTTCAAAGGAAACAACAGCTCATGTGTTTTAAAGTAAAACATGGGCCAGATCCTCTGTGGGTGTAAATCCATGTAGCTCCATTGACTTTAATCTCTGTAATCTCTTTAATCTAATTTGTCTCCTCCTTAGAAGAGGGGAGGAGACAAAAAACACTGAGGTTGACACAAATGAACAAGTGCAGAACAGGGGTGTGGAGGCAGGGACAATAACAGAGTCAGAGGGGGACACTGTGCCATGACCCCAGGCAAGGGGCACCGCTCCCCAGAAGAGGACTCACCAACCAGTATAACAGCCTGGCAAAGGACATTATAGCAGGTATAGCATGGGCAGCAGCTGTGGAAGTTTTCCATCACCAGCCAGTATGCCCCAAATTTAACCTAGAAGGACCACCTCTGGGGGCAAGAAGGGAGTTCAGCTGGCAGTCTAGCCACCTGGGTTGGATTTCAACACAAACCCTACATGTGTGGCTCAAAATCCATGAGTGCCCCTTTAAGAAGTATTGCTCTTGCTAGCTGTATAGAGCATACTCCCCAATTTTCAAAAGACTCTCAAAGCTTGGCCTAATCCTGCCGGGCCTAAGTGAGTCTTTCACTTGGATTAAGAGCTTTTAGGACCAGAAGGGAACCTTTAGAGTCGTCTAGTCTGACCTGCTGCAGAACACAGGCCTGAGAATTCCTCCCCCACCCCCCATGATTCCTGCAATGGAAGATTTATTCTTCCCACTACATATGAACGCTATTGAGCCCAGTAACTTGCGGGTGAGCAAAATCATCTCCCTTAGAAAGGCATCTGGTCTTCATATAGAGATCCCAGATGATGAATTTACCACGCCCTTTGGTGAGTTGTATCACTGGTCAATTACCCTCACTATTGAAAATCTGTGCCTTATTTCCAGTTTGAATTTTTCTACCTTTCCAGCCATTGGATCCTGGTAGGTCTTTTACGCTACTGGTTCAAATAGTCATTGAAGCTCGCACGCATTCAGAAAACAACAAGAAAACATCCTCACATGGTTTCCTACAGCATCTTCTACCTAGAAAGTCCTTTCTGAACCCCTTTAATAGAGTGCCGTACCTCGTTTTGCATCTGATGATAGATACATCGAAATATACAGGATGGACATCACACCGTACTGGAGGCAGAATGGGATTCACTAGGGACACTTCCAGCAAAGACCCATTGGTGGAGTACATGGACTGTAACTGGGGAGATGTCAGACCTAAGCAATCCATCAACAACAAACATTTCGTAAGTGCAGGATCCTTTAGTAGTCGTGACAATAACATATTAAAACATTTACAGGGTGCAATTCAGATTGTGTCTAGCAACAGCAGTGCCAGCCCCTAATCAAGGATTTTAAAACCAAGTGTGGGGCGTTGTCTTTCATATTAAAACATGGTTCATCTTCCTAGTCTTTCGGGTGAACTGCTTTTAAATACTTACCAGGCAACCTCTCCCATACACATTCTGTTATAGAGCATTCTGCTTGCACTGGGCCTGATACTCTACTACCTGGCACCATGGCATTTTGCACCCCCTTTCCACATATTTTGCCCGGTTATACATGACTAAGCCAAAATGTTCAAACCTGGGCACCAATGGCAGGCACCAAAATCCGTATTTAGGCACGCACAAATAGCCTGAGCTTTCAGAGATCATAGAATCATAGAATATCAGGGTTGGAAGGGACCTCAGGAAGTCATCTAGTCCAACCCCCTGCTCAAAGCAGGACCAATTCCTAACTAAATCATCCCAGCCAGGGCTTTGTCAAGCCTGACCTTAAAAACCTCAAAAATGCTCAAAAGATGCTGAGGAATTGCAACTCCTTCTGAAGTCAGTGCTCAGCACCTCTGAAAATCAGGTCATTTATTTATGGCCTAAAGAACAGAGCACTGGACTGGGACTCAGGACACCTGGTTCTATTCCTGCCTCTGCCACTGGCCTGCTGGGTGACTTTGGGCAAGTCATTCTGTGCGCTCTGTGCCTCAGTTTCCCCCATCTGTAAAAATGGGGATAATGATCCTGACCTCCTTTGTAAAGTGCTCTCAGATCTACTGATGAAAGGTGCTATATAAGAGCTAGGTAGCATTATTTATATGGATAATTTGGGGCAAGCAAGTTTGACAATTATGGCCTATGTGACTGATAACGTTGGCAACTCTTGTGATTTTATCACAAGTCTCACAATACAATTGATGGTTTTCTTAAAGCCTCGGCTAGTGGAGTCATGTGACTATACGAAAATCTCAGCTTTCATTTAAAAAAGGAGTACATTTCTAGCTCTTATGATTTCAGAGACAAGCATGTCAGTGTTACTGAAGTGCACCCTAAATGCTCAACATCCAGAGGGCAAATAAAAAGAACCCAGCATTGATTATTTTTTTAAAAATCTAATGATTTTTCAACCCAATCTCATGATTTTGGGGCGCCTGATGGCTGTGTTGTTGTGTGGGGTTTTTTTGTTTTGTTTTACATTTATGGTTGCCAATACCAGAATGACAAATTAAGAACATAAGAACAGCCACACTGGGTCAGACCAAAGGTCCGTCTAGCCCAGTATCCTGTCTTCCGACAGTGGCCAGTGCCAGGTGCCCCAGAGGGAATGAACAGAACAGGTAATAATCAAGTGATCCATCCCCTGTCGCCCATTCCCAGCTTCTGGCAAACAGAAGCTAGGGACACCATCCCTGCCCATCTTGGCTAACAGCCATTGATGGACTTATCCTTGATGAACGTATCGAATTCTTTTTTGAACCCTGTTATAGTTTTGTGTTTCAAAACACAGCTGACCCCTGGTCATTCTTCCAAGTGCCCCATTTTATCCAATGATTTCCACCAATTACTAGCAGCCTCCTCAAACTTACCATCCAATGTCAGGGTGATCCATGTTCCTCCAGCAAGGCTGCCCTCCTGGGGTTCAGTGAATAACTTTGCAGATGCCACTGCAAAAATAACCCGGATACTTCAGGATGAAATATAATACGGCAGCAGAATCAGTCGTGTGCAGCATGTATCTTTACAACGGCATTGGCAATGCTTGAGACACATTTCTGCACGGGAGGTTTACTATCAACATATTCCGACCCAAAGTATATCTTCCCTAAATAAACAAATCCCAAACAGCACAACTGGAGGAACTAAAATAGATTAGAAATACATAATATGTACACACACATATGTATATAGAATGAATACAAATGGATGGACATATAAAGTCCAATGAGACATAAGCTCCTAGGTGCCTGAGTCCCTTTTGAAAATGAGACAGACATCTAGGCCTAGCTATGCTGAGCTTACAAGCCTGACTGCAGTCACTGCGTCGCCCCAGCTTTGCTCCACTTGTAGAGTGTTCTGTTCTGCAGAAGGATTGGTGATAACCCACTCCAGTTAAACCATGGAACATTTTCTTGGAAAACTATATAGAGCCCCTGAGAGCAGATACAAAGGGCTCCTTGCCTAGTGGGACAGCCAGATGAAGGAACTGTGTTCCACACCATTCAGAGATTCTGACTTGTGTTTAGGTGGATCTAGCAAACGTAGCAGAGGCTAGAAACTGAGAATGACGTCTCTTAGTCATTCACAGCAAAGACAGCAACGGAGCAAGCTTCCCTTGCCAGCGAATGACCTTATGGGACCACCTATGAATGGGAGAACATTGCAGTTCCCATTCCAACAGAGGACCTCTGCTGAGGCTATCAACAAGAGCAGTAGTTATGATAATGGTGTGTGAGATATGGACATTTTTCCACTAGGAACTAGACTGGGATCCAAATATGTTTCACCAAAATCCTCAGACAAAACCATCAGATGACAAAAACTTTTGTCCACTACTGGCCTGAGTTAAATTTGAACCAACAACCTAGAGGAGATAGTCGTTTACTGCAGTGAAAAAAAAATCACTGCCATTTGTCCCAGCATTGGAGTATCAGGTAGGTGAAATATTGCACTGGACATTGCCAGTGGTCTCTCTACACTTTTATTACAGACCCAACCATGGACCAGCAAAGTGGCACATTCTGTATACTAGCTACAACACTGCCAATGCCCTATGGCATCCAACTTCGTCCTTTCCGCAAACCACTTCATAAGCCCCCTACAAAGGCAGAGCCCCTTGCAAAGTTTCTCCCAGACTACCAACAATCACTGCCTTCCCAGTGGCATTCGTTCCTTTGTCCTGCTGGCCCCATAGATAATTGAGAGCCACTGCCTTCTAGCACTCACCTACAAAGAGCAGCAGCTCCACATTCAAAAAGGACGGTATCAAAGTGTTCATCTCTGGTCCCGGACTTCAACTGCACGGGAGATTTTCCCTGAGATCGCTCACATCTTCACAGGTCTAGCATGTGGCTTTAGTACCTGCACTCCTTCCCTGTAACATTAAAAACCTCTCTCTATATTCCTTATTCACATGACAAGCCTTCAGGGCAGGCCATGCTGCTCTGAGTCATTGTTCTGCCAGGTAGGAAGGGCTGTTTCCTGAAATCAAAAAGCGCCTCGGCGAGAAATTAATTTAATCTCATTCACTAGTAAAGATTTAAACACACACGGAGCTGATAACAGCACATGAAGCCTCATCCACTCCAAGAGCCAGATTTTCAAGTGCTCAGCACCCAGGGCCAGGTTTTCTCAAGCCCTACTTGGCACCAAGCGAGAGATAGTCGAGAGTGCTTAAGGGATTTAGGTGCACCATTCCCTCGGAAGGGCTACGTTAAACTCTTCTGGCTCTTCAGCACTCTGTGCAAAAAGTGTCTGTGAGCTCAGTCCACCTCCTAGTGAAGGTGTCCAGGGTCAGATCATCAGCTGGCACTGCAGAACACCCAGCAAAGCTAACAAAGGGCACTGAGGTTCACTTCCTCTGCTTGGCTGCTCAAGGAGTGCTGCAGCTATATGCTACCCCTTGCACAAGGTTGGTGGCTAAAGTACGACCTACCCCTGAGTTTCCCTAACTATAAAATGGGGATATTACTGCAGGGGGGAACAATCAGAGGAGGCTCGGAGTCTTAGAAAATCTATAGAGTCTCAACTCTGGTGCAACTCACAAATCGAGGAAACAGGAAGGGGGGACTAGAGCTAGCAGGAAGGTGTAATTTACGATGATTATTATGGTAGCATCTGGAGGTCCCAACCGAAATTAGGGCCCTTTGTACAGACAGCCCGGGCCCCAAGGAATTTAAAATCTAAATAGACAAGATGGACAGACAGTGGGAGGGAAAATAGATATGGAGAGGTGAAGTGGCTTGTCAGTGGCAGAACCAAGACTAGAACCCAGGAGAGCAGAATACCTGGGGCAGGTTTAGAAAGGAACACTCTTTCAGGAGAGTGGGCGTTGTTCGAGGGAACCAGGCTGAGACACAGACACATGCTGGGAACGTATGAAGGAGTTAGGGCTGCCTAGGTTACCCTCGGGGGATGGTAAGCCTGTATAGGTAGAGCCCTGCGCGGATAAGAACATAAGAACGGCCATACTGGGTCAGACCAAAGGTCCATCTAGCCCAGTATCCTGTCTTCCAACAGTGGCCAGGTGCCCTTGAGGGAATAAACAGAACAGGTAATCATCAAGTGATCCATCCCCTGTCATCCATTCCCGGCTTCTGGCAAACAGAGACTAGGGATACCATCCCTGTCCATCCTGCCTAATAGCCATTGATGGACATATCCTCCATGAATTTATCTAGTTTTTTATCCAAAATTTGTATCCGCAGCCGATCCATGATCCGCAAAAACGGTTCACGGATATCTGCAGATTTGCAAGGCTCTCAAAATAGGCATGTGTGTAGACCAGGGGTCGGCAACTTTTCAGAAGCGGTGTGCCGAGTCTTCATTTATTCACTCTGATTTAAGGTTTCGCGTGTCAGTAATACATATTAATGTTTTTAGAAGGGCTCTTTCTATAAGTCTATAATATATAACTAAACTATTGTTGTATGTAAAGTAAATTAGGTTTTTAAAATGTTTAAGAAACTTCATTTAAAATTAAATTAAAATGCAGAGCCCCCCGGACTGGTGTCCAGGACCCGGGCAGTGTGAGTGCCACTGAAAATCAGCTCGTGTGCCGCCTTCGGCACGCGTGCCATAGTTGCCTACCCCTGGTGTAGACTGTTGTTCGAGAATCTTTTTTTTCCTCTGTACTCTTTGTTCCTACTGCAAAACAAACAACACAGACGTCTACCGGGTGACCGTACGCACCACTGGTCACAGACTGCCAAAGGGAGGAACCGCAGGTCGGACCGGCCAGGTAAGCACAGTCAGTGTTTAATTTGTAATGAAAGAGGTGCTGGGGGTCAAGCAATTTTCTTACATTCCTAACTGATGCAGCAAGCCCAGCGGTGCTATGGCTATGACTTGCCAAGCCTTGAGGTGCCGGGCCTCCGCCCTGGCACAAATTAAGCCCTGAGCACAGTAGATACATAGGATACGGTAGCCTAGGACCCGCTCTAGGAGTGGGAGAACTGTGGGATTTCACTCCAAGCTAGGGAAAGGCAAAAGGCTGACACCTGAGGGGGGCACTCAGAAAGACTACAAACGGGACAGAGCTGTGATTAGACCTGGAACTGTGACAGACACCTTGTAAACTTTAAGCCTGCCGCTGCTCCTATTGAGATCAACAAAGTGGATTGTTTGAATGACATCCCCCTTTCAATCCGGCAGCCATGCCCGGGCATTAATAGCTTACAGGGCACTTCATCCAAAGGTCTCAACACGCTGCACACACTTCAGTTAATTCATTGGGTCTCCCAACATCCCTGCTTGAAGCAGATACGTATTGTAGCCTCTCTTTTACAGATCTCACAGAGAAGTAAGCATAGGTGCTGGAACCAGGGGTGCAGGGGGCACCCTCGGCTTGAAGTGGTTTCCATCATACACAGGGTTTACAGTTTAGTTTAATGGCTCTCAGCACCTTCACTATACAAATTGTTCCAGCCCCCTGGAGGTAAGTGACTTAGTACAATGTCCCACGGTGAGTCTGTAGCAGAGCAGTGGCCAAAAATTGTAAGTTTTGTAGCCGGCCCTGGTAGGTAAACAACAGAAAGAGAAAACAGCCAGGTTCTCTCAACCTAAGTTGACAAACGTTCAGTAATATGGATTCCCTTCCCTCTGCTCCTCCTGCTTCCAGGTTCTGATAGAGATTAGATATTCACATGTGGACACGATAGTAATGGAAGACATCCACAAACTAGTTTGCTTCTATCTTTTGTGGTATGAGCTCTGCCACTTTACAATGCAATCAATGGTTGATGGCTCCTCCTTACAATTCTCAATGCAATTGCAATCACGACTGGCCAGATTCTACAACCTGTACTCACAGTGACCTTGCATTTGAAGCTATACACATAAAGACACACCAAAAAAAAGAAAAGAAAAAAGACGATACTGCTTACCTTTTCCTATGTGCTTTTCTTCCATTGCTCAGATGAGAGATGCACACAGCCACCTCTGGTTTCAGAATAACTTTTGTGGTTTCATCCCTTTGGAACCTGACAGCTTGGTTCGATTTTGTTGCTGTTCTGGGACAAGGGTGTTCCAAGCACTAACTCTAATTGCTCTGCAGGTAACTGAATCTTACCAGACTAGTTTGTGTGCAGGTTTAAAAGCTCAGAGCTATCCCTAGGGCAAGCTTAATAATTAACCTAAGCTCCTTATGCTATTAACCACGTTGCTCCGAGTCTTTTGTTAATGACCATGGGGAAAGCAACTTGGAATTTTTCTCCTCTTGAAATAGGATGTTATATGTTTATAGCCCAGGAGATATGCTGTAGTTCAAACAGAACTATTGTGTGGACGTTGTCTGTCTGCCTGGGCTATAAGGAGTTGGTCACTGTGGTCCCTTTTAGCCATATAATCTATTCATCCCTTGAGGGCTGCTGGAAGAGACTGGGATGTGGGCAGTCATGCCCAGTAGTTAGAGCAGTACTTAGGAATCAGAGCCCATGGTCGGAGCCAGGCACCAGAGCCAAAGTTACAAATCAGAGCCACGGGTCAGGACCAGGTCCCTTGGAGTGAGGCAAAGCTGGGAACAAGGAGGTACCAATTCTAGAAGCAGTCACTGAAGTGGTGCTGCTGCTAGGTGTAAGAGCCGGTCTGCTGACTCTTCTAACCAATCAGGCAGTGTAGCCAATTAGGCAGCCTACTACCAGCTAGCTGTGCTCCTTAGGTTGCCCAGAGAGGGGCTCTGCTACAGGCCAGATACCTGACAGCTGTTCCCGGAGGCTGCCTATACACCTGATTCCTGGTGGTCTGGCTGAGCCCCAGGTTGTGTGTCTTGGGGAGTTCAGTGCTCACATTGCAGCAGCTTGTCATTGTTGGTAACAGTGTGTTTCTATAGGGTGAATTGTTCATGTGCTCAGAGTCTGAGAATAGGTGCATCAAATGCACTGAAGCCAATGAAACAATGAACCTATACGGATAGAAACTGATCACTTGGGATCCCAAATGAATACATGTCTTTAATTTAAACTCCTGCTGCTTTCAGTTTCATTGCATGAGTTAAAAAGGGACGCACAGAGATTAGAGATGGCAAAGATGTATTTTTTCTATTCACACCCTTGCAAAAGTAGCAAGGGGTCTGTTAACTGAGAATAACCTATGGCCTAAACAAAGAAGGACCACAAGTTGAGACAAATTTAGCACAGCAACATCACACTGGACACCTCAGGGAAAGTAGGTTTTTTGTTTGTATGTTTTTAAAACTCACCTAGTAGAGATGCCAGCTCTGGGACATGGGCATCCATATTCAAATCTGCACTATGGTAACTTAGAAAATGTCCACCCATGTGTTGGGGTATATACAGTATATGCCGTTTCCAAAGGGATAAAAAATCCTGAACTGCCATCTGATTTTGCACAGGACCAACAACTCGTTCTGAAGTTCAAGGTTTTAGGTTTAGAAGTAGAATGAGGGACAGTGCTCCATAAAAGAGTCCTGGGCCTTTGCACAAACAGTCCTGGGCCATTTCTGAAGCAGACAAGAAATAATTACAGTACAGTACAAGCACAGAGGATGAACAGTAGCTGTTTAGCCACTGGGTGGCAGTGTTGAGTCGCTGCAGAGTTGAAAAGTGAGGATTGAAGATAAACCAAGCGGTCGCTCATCTGCAGGATGGTGCTGTGAAATACTGCATCTGAAGAAGTGAGCTGTAGCCCACGAAAGCTTATGCTGAAATAAATTTGTTAGTCTCTAAGGTGCCACAAGTACTCCTGTTCTTTTTGCGGATACAGACTAACACGGCTGCTACTTTGAAACCTGCTTCAATAATAATGTTATTAAGAGTGCGCACCTGAGGCAGGCAGCATAGGCTGGTGGTGAGAGCAGAGGTATAGGGGTCAGGAGACCTACGTTCTATTCCCAG